AAAATAACATAATAAAAAGTGGTTTAACAATTATAACTAAGTAAAGCGTAAATTAGTAGTGTTTCTTATTATAAAGACTATCAACATTTTTTAAAAATAAAACAATAAAAATAAGAAAAAAAAGACAAGAAATTTTTTGTTACTTTAGATATATACATGTTGTTGTAAAGGAAAACTTGTAGAAGTCTATGAAGAATTATCATTGAGTTCCTCTTTAAATGGTTAAATAAATTCTAATTCATTTTTATATATAGTCAAAAGTGGTTAAACAATATAAAGTCAGTGATACACATGAATATTTTTGTATAAATTTTGTTTTTAAGTTTAATACATGCCCATACAATTGTTGATATTATGTGTGAGGTGTTTTAATTTATTTTTCAGGTTGTCAGAATTGCTTAATATTTTAATTTCTGTATTTTTGGATATTATTTTGTTATATAGGAACGGACCCCGGTCGGAAATAGAAAACTGTGACAAACAGGCCCGTACGCAGGATTTTTCGTGGGAGGGTGCGAAATTTGAAAAAGTGGACCATTTTTTACAACATATCAAAAATATTGCTTTCAAAATAATACGCAAATATAAACTTTATAATGACACACAAGGTTAAAAAGCACCGACACTGAATTTGCGTGAAGTCAAATAATTTCAGTCAAAACAGATCGTAATTGTAGACGCCGAGATTATTTTTGTGAAAATATATCAACAATTTTATCTTCGTCGATGATTTTACCATTGTGGATATCCATTGATGCAAGTGCAGAGAGTCTTTCTTGCTTCATACTTGCTCTCGAATATGTATGCCTGCGCAATGCACTAGCACTACGTTTGCATTCGCAACTGGTCGCTCGGATTGAACAAAAAATTTTTCGAAGAGTGAAAATGTTTGGGAATAACTCTTCGTCGCATTCTTATAATGCTTGCGCTCCAGTTGGAAGACATTCTTCAGGAGGTTTTTTTGGAAACGGTGCTTCCATCGAAACAACTCTTGGGGGAACAAATCAGCAGATTAAGTCTTCTGCATAAAATTTGGCAACATTTTGAAGAGATACTCCTCCCTCTTCACAGAGAGTAGATGGTACAAGCCTCGACAGTTTAGAGGAGAGGATGGAAAGGTCAGAAAATTGACTCACCAACTCTGAGCTTATGTGGTTAAGGAATGAAATGGCGAGATTTTGTCGATAATACTCCTCAAGATTAATTGCAGGAGCATTGTTGCGCATTATTTGACGTGTTATTTATTTGGCTTGGGTGTAGACACGCTAAATTCATTGTCTATGTTTCTTAAAATGTTTTTATAAACAGATTTTACCTCAGTAATTTAATGGTATGCCGTGATAATATCCACAGTGCGGCCTCGTAATTTCACAGTTATTCCTTCCAAATGTGACAGGAATTGGTACATTGTCAAGAAACTTATAATAAAGTCAAAAGACGTAGACTTGTCAGCAGTGAATTGGCATTGTCTCTGAATGTTGTATCCCATGTAACATTTGATAAAATGTTACAAATATATCATTTACTAATAATAGCAATGTAAATATAAAAATAAAAATATATTATCAGATAAAATAATATAAAAATCAAACAATAAAAAATATATTCCCTTGTGGGGCTAGTGTTCTAAAAAACAATAAAATGCTACAAGAGATTCAGTACATACATCGACTGATTTAGGGAGAGCCCGCAATTCAATATTAGTTATGATTACGTCCAACAATAACATACATAATAATAAACAATATTTGCAATAATAAACAATGAAAATATACGGGATAAATAAAAAAAGGACATTTTACTATATTGGATGAGAAATAATTGATGTGGTAATCGAAACGTATAATATTAAAAGTGTAATATATAAAAAGAACTTAAAGAAAACAAATTAATTAAGCTACGATAGCACCTTGTTGCGGTAATAAGCAAACGCAAAACTTAAAACAAAATTGTTGTCAAGAAAAATCGACGAACGTTAATATAGACATTATAGTGTTCATAACGACGAGACTTCGCGACGTCAAAAGTGTATAGTACCTTAGAATAGAAAAATCTAATCAATATGAAACGAAAAACGTATGCTGTATGCAGTAAAAAGTGCAATTTATCCTATAAAGAATTTAATATTATATAAAATGTGGACCTTTCAAAAATTGGGGGTGCGTATACACCCTATGCACCCCTAATTGGGGGTGCAAATACACCCTATGCACCCCTTCCTCCTGCGTACGGGCCTGAGAAACTTGTTCTTCTTTTAGGCAGTGAGAAAGTTAACTTAAAAGAAGTTATCTAAAAAATGCAATGTGACTTGTCCAAGTTTGTATTTAAGCATAAATAGTACATTTTGGTAGATTGATTAAGGTTTTTAGTAAGGGTTTAACATGGGTGAGTTTATCTTTATTATAAACTAATTGTTATGCATGTTTTTGACTTATATGAATAGTACTCAATTTGGATTTGTGTGTACTTGCCAATGTAATAATAGCATAAGAAAATATAGCGATGTTTTTTCTATATTTAGTGATAGTTTATTTAATTTCAACTATATATTTAATCTTTTAAGCTCTTTGTTCATACATTCATAAAGGTCTTTGATTGAGCTCGATGAATAAAATAACTTTGTGTCATTGGCAAATACAATTACATTAAGTTTTTCCAAGGCTTTTGTTAGGTATATAGAAGGAACAGAAGAGGTCCAAGAATGGAAGCTTGGAGAACACCGCACTCTACTTTTAGTAGTTTTGAGTGTTTATAACTATCTGAAAAAACACATAGTTGTCTGTTGCTTAGATAGTTTTTGAACTAGTCAAGGGTTATGTTTTTTATCCCATAGCTTTCCATTTTTTTAAGTAAGATATAATGATTTACAGTATCAAACGCTTTTGACAAGTCTTTAAAGATGCCTAGAACATACTGGTTTTTATCAAAAGAATCATTTATATTGACAACTAGATCTAGAATTGGGTGCTCAGTTGAATATTGTTTTTGAAAACCGAATTTTTATTTAGGATTTCATTTTAGATTAAATGCTCAATCTCTAATGATCCAAACTTAGAACAGATTTCTAACATAAATAAGACAAAAAAATTTTACTGTCGTAAAACTCTCGTGTGTAAAGTAAACAATTTGTTTGGTACCTGGCAGTAGTTGTGCATAAAAGGGGATGAGTTTATGAGACTGATTAGGGAAGGGGGTACTATTGACACCGAAAAATTTCGCCGATGAAGAAATAAATCCTAAATCCACCCCTGAAATTAAAACCAAAAATATAAAAATATGACTAATTATAAAGGTTTTATATACTTTTATAACTATATCTTGTTTATAAATTTCGAGACCTACATAATTCTTATTACTAATATAAAGTTAAAACGTAATTTTGATAATAATCCTATAATTAACATAAAAAATATGTTTAAATTTCTACGTTTTATGGACGTTTGTTCAATCAAAATGTTTTGTCTAAACGCTGTTTCGACGTTTAAATGACGTTTGTGTCTTTACTGAGTTTGCTCTTCATTAATCAACCTCCTCATTACCCTACTATATTGAATTTACCTACAAAAATACTAAAAAAGCTTTTTCCTCTTTAAAAAAAGCCACTAGGTTTTGATGAAGAATCTAGTCAAATAGTTATTACGAACAAAATCTGTCTAATCTGATCTACTAAAGATCTCAATAAACTATATACTAAAGATCTCAATAAAATATGGGATTTTTCTTGATGCACTTTAACTAGCAAAAGTTAAAACTTAAATTATACAAGGTACTAACAAATTTTAAAATTAGAATAAAAAAGTTTAATTTTGGTTTATAAGCAGTTATCCATGCTGTGCGAAAACCAAAATAAAAAGCCTCATTATTTGTTAAAATATAAAAGTCAAAAGTTATCCAAGAAAAATAAAAAACTCTAAACTATGCTATATAAAATATAATCTAAAAAATTATAAACTTCAACTATAATTGACAAAAAACAAAGAAAGAATTTGTTGAATATGAGGTAGATTAGTGTGCCATGGGTTTAGTAACTTCATTTTTCGACGTATATAACACTTCTTTTAAAATGTTTGTAAATTACTTCTAGTTTCGCAATTTTTCAAAACAGATTTTTTTAATGCCAACAACTGCAACAACATAAGAGTCGGGTAATGCTTGTTGATAAAACTTCAAGTTTTTTTTCTGCGATTTTTGCTTTCACTGTTTGAATGTTACTATTTGTATTTTATAAGTATTTTCCTTTCAAAATCCTAATTCGGAAAACTGTTCAAATTTATTTTTAGCTTGCTAGCTAATTCAAAACAAATTCTGTTTAAATAAGTTTTTGCGAGAAGATATTATTTTCGTTTACTGAAATGCTTTTTATATAAAACTTATATAACGCTCATGCATTTTTGCACGTATTTTTATCAAAACTGATAAACAAAATAATAATAAAAAGTTTCCTAAACATTTTTCACTGGGCGCCAAAAACATTTTTACTAATGATAGTTATGCCAAGGTTTATTTTGTTGCAAATCTAATGTCGTGTATAATGCGTTTTAACACATAAAAATATTATTTTAAAAATTAAACTACACTTTACATCCAAAACATACAGTTACTAGTATGTTATAATCGTTAATGTGTGAATCTTATGTTAATCTTGTATTTAAATATTTGTGTCACCTCCTTCTTCACTATATAGTCTTTTGTATAAAAACTTTCCGTTTGTACTTTTATTACACATGAATTTTTCTATTTGTGTAACTTATAATTATTTCTTATCCAAAATTATTATATATAAAGAATAATGAAGAATTTTAAAAGGTAAAAATAAAATAAAAATACTTAAAGGTGTTTATCCTTCACCAAATCAAATAAGTTACAAAAACTACGATAATATTAATAATTTATGCAAGCAATATTATTATAGTGTAATAGTTTATGCAACAATAAAAAACAAAACAGATTTAAAAAAAAAAATGGATCTAAATAACTATTGCCTAAGAAAAATATTTTGGTTAAATAATTTCAGGTTTTGTTTTATTATCTTTAAATAGGTGTAACACGGGCTTCTAACGTGTTAGGAACAAAAAACTGTCTATTGCTTGTCTCCAAATTAAATTGTGTTATTACGTTGGTTTCACTTTTAATCCATCTTTTATTTCGATATCTTTTGCTCCTTTTAGTATTAAGTATTCAGAAACATCAAAATAACCATTGCTTACCGCAAGACTTAATGGTGTTTTCCCGTCTTTAGTTGGGAGGCCTATATCTGCGCCAGCTTCAACTAAAAGTTTAACAATTTCTAGATTTCCTCCGGTGCATGCATGATGTAAAACTGTGATGCCATGTGCTCCAAATCCATTTATATTTAAAACCTCTGCTTCTAACAAAGACCGCACCGCTTCTACGTCTTCAATCATAATTGCGTTGTGTAACTGACAATCATAACCAGGAATAGATGGTGAACGAGATGGTCTCAAAAGTAGCTCACCTGAATCATCAATAACCAATGGGGTCTTGGATTGCAACGATTGCGCTTTTTTCTTTGTTTTAAACCGCTGACGAGGGTCTACAGTTCCCAAAACTTGAGTCATTTTTTATCTGGTAAAATAAATTATACACTAGTTATAAAGTTACAAAGATATAATCCAACAAAAACGAAAACAATTTGTATGCATGCATGTATTTGTATTTAGGTTTTTGTGTATACGTCTATATGTGTGTGTTTGTGCGTGTGCTATGTTTCTTGCTTATTTTGATATAATTATAAACTACGTAAAAAAACAAGAATTTATACCCTACTTTCAATATTTATAAAAACACTATTTACTTAGACTTGACACGCTTAAAGTAAACTCTTAAAAATTTGAAGCGTACACCATGACATAGTCTTTGTTTATTTTAATACAAAAGTGTCGTAATTATATATTCAAGTCTCTCTAAGTGGTTTTTGAAAATTTTACGCTTTTTTATCCACTTTTTTTTTTTTATCCACTTAAAATAAGCAAATACTTAATCTTAAGTAAACAAACTACTGGGTAGAATTTTTTTCAGTGTAACCTTGGAACTTAACGATTTAAAATAAAAATCTTAGTTTACGTCTTTCCTTTAGATTATGAATAACATTTCCTCGAGAACTTAGATAAACAAAGTAACAGTAGTCATTTCTCAATCGTTTTTTAAACTTCTACCTTATTTATGGCATAGGCATCCAACATCATAGTCTAACTATTATTACTAGCCAATTAGTAGTATATATAAATACATATTTACAATTATATGTATATGCTGCATGTGACATGCATATAAATACATACACAGACACATACATACATACATACATACATACATACATACATACATACATACATACATACATACATACATACATACATACATACATACATACATACATACATACATACATACATACATACATACATACATACATATACACATATATATATATATATATATATATATATATATATATATATATATATATATATATATATATATATATATATATATATATATATAAATGCATGTGTATACATGTATGTATGTATGTATGTATGTATGTATGTATGTATGTATGTATGTATGTATGTATGTATGTATGTATGTATGTATGTATGTATGTATGTATGTATGTATGTATGTATGTATGTATGTATGTATGTATGTATGTATGTATGTATGTATGTATGTATGTGTACATAGGTGTATGTGTATGTATGTGTACATAGATGTATAGATTTGCATCTTTCGAAACCGTTTTTTATATAATTTTTTTTTCAGTCGTTATACTTTAATTGTTGGCAAATATTTGCATTGTATACCAATGCTGTAATTCGTCAATAATCATCATTATCAGCGCGGTTTACTTTTCATTCATTATACACCGTTTTATTTATTTATACACTTTCTTAGAAATTTTTATTAAAATTACTGAAAAGCTAATAAGTGCACAAAGGTTTCAATAATTTTTTATACACTTTGAAACTTATAAAGGTTATATATAAATATAACCTTTAAGGTATAAATATATAAAGTTTTTAACAAGTTTTATTAAAAATTCATTTAAAAGCTCTTAAAAAAAGTTTTTTTTTTCCTATATAAATGTGCATGTTTGATTAAATATACTTTTCAAAATACAAAATTTTTTCCTATATAAATGTGCATGTTTGATTAAATATAATTTTCAAAATACAAAAAAAAACTATAACAGCAACAACAACAACAAAAATGTTAATAAAAACTAAAACATTAAGTATACCAAAAATTGTATAGCAGATACGAAATGAAATTGATATTTTGCTAACTTTTAATTATTATTATTTAGTAATTCTTTAGAAATTAAAAAAAATGTTTTTTACGATTTCATTTAATTTACGTTTAAATTTGATGTTTTGTTCAGTATTGCGTAATATCCGTTATAGCAAGAACCATTCAGATTCTAACAGTTTGTTATAACAGTTTAGAACAAATTTTTAAATAAAGTCAGACTTATTAAGTAAAGTAGCGTCGGGGGGATTATTTCCTCTTCTATATTTTCATTATTTTCTGATGCTAGAATAAAAGATTGTAAAATATTTTCTAGCAAATTATGATTGTTTATCAAATTACTGTTTAAATATTCTCAGTATTAAAAAAGATCAAAATTTTGCAAAATTTACTGCTGCTGGAAACTTTTAAGAAATATAAATTTTTTTATTGGTAAGTATTAAGAAAAATGTCATTAAAATACAAAGTAAATGAATTAAAAACGTAGTTTAAAGGTTATATCGCCATTTGTTTTCGAATTGAGTTTTTCTTTTTTGCTTTTAAATATGTTTTAGTCACTTAAATTTAATTAAATGCTTTAAAAAAGGTGCTCTCGCTTGTTCAATCTCTCACCAGCTCACTTTTTTTTAATCCTGGCATCATCAATCAATGTCATTCATCTGCAGTTAAAATATTAGAGGCTTATAACCATTGCACTTTAAACTTTTTAAATTTAAAGTGTAATGATTGTAATTACTTAAAATAAGTTAGATAGTTTTAGATTTTTGTATAATTTCATTTGCAACTTATTTTAAGTAATGGAGAATTACTTAAAATAACCTATTTAGCTACTAGATTGTTGCAGCGTTTACGAAAATGCAAATAAAACCCCAACATATGCATCAGTAATGTAAAACATCTTGACTTAAAACATGAAATAAAAACAAAATGCAGTAATGGTATATGAAAAAAAAAAAAAAAAAAGAAAACAGTCTAGAAAAAGATTTTGTTTTATTTTTTAAAAGCAACCAATAAAAGAATCAGTTTTCGAGACAATACGGTTAATCCTTTAAGCTAGTTATTTCCTAACTAAAAGAAAAATCAAATAGCTTTTTAGTTAACTAGATAAATATACTTCTTTATAAAATTGAAGTTACATGAGATACATTATTTTAAATTTTATAAAAATATTATCAAAACTGTAATCAGCGATCACTGTTGATCGTTATGATCGAGATGATTGACAAGTGTGAGATGAGTTTATAGAACAAATGGCTTTGCCCTCTGAGATACTATTATTTAGTTTAACTAACTGTACATAAAGTAATTATGTAATTTATAGGAGAAAAAAAACACAATAATATGCAAGTATAAATATTGATTAATTTACCGGTTTTATATTGGTAACTTTGACTTATCACGAGTAAATTTTAATTACCAGAAATATTAAATTTTTTTTTCTGTTTTACCGATAAAATTCGGTTAAAATTCGAGCCAGGATGTTTTTAATTTAAATCTTTATGGGGAAGAAAGAAGACATACTCTGAATTTGTTTTTGTATTGTCTCAGTAAACTTTAAAAAATAAAGTAATAAATATTACTAATTTTATTATAATTGCAGAAAATATATAATTCAAAATATAAAAAAATAAGTTTGTAAATGCTTTTAAGAAGTTAACTATCTGAATAAAAATTAGAAAAATTAATAATATTAAAAAAATGAAAACCATTTTAATCATCGTTTGCGAAGAATAATTTTTGTAGAATAATATTTATTCGGAAACCTCTATATGGAAAAAAAGTTAGTAAACACAAGAAACCTTTGCATAGGTGGTATCCTTAAATTTGCACACGTTAACAATCATAAGTATTTGGCGCTTTTTTAAATGAAACTTTCATAACTTTAATGTTTCTCCAAAGTTTTTTTATTTTTCGTTTCAAATTTGTTTAGCACTTTTTAATAAATCTCAATTCCGGACGGCTCAGAGGATATGCTGTTATAGGCACAACTTTTACATCATCTTGCTTACAATTCGTTCGCCAGTTTACTATAATGACTTCAAACTAAATCAGGTCTGGACACAGGTCATGACACAGGTCTGTTATCTGTGATTTAATAGAGGTAAAGAAGGTTTTTGTAAACACTCTTTAACAAAAATTCGACCAGTTAGTGTGGGCTCAGATATACAAAGTACTGATTTTTTGCCACACCTAAAAATAGCTAGCCTAAACTAGACTTTTTTTTAGTAAACGTTCATGTTTTGTGTATTTAAATTTCTTATCTGTTTTTCCTCCATATTTGGCAATATTTTAGACGGCACCAGGACTTTAGCTGACTTTACTTATTAATATAAATACAATATAATTTTTATTATCTTTAATAATACAAAAATATTCAGAAATAAAATTTTCAATCAACTTTCTGCAGAATTTCAGGAAGGTTGAGTTTTTCTAATTAGAAAGAATGATGATCATGTTTATTTTTAATTTCACAATAAAACTATTAGAAAATCTGTATCTTTTTGCGCCTTTTTCTAATGAGAGCATTGACCTTTAAGTCTTCCCTCATAAATGTCAGAAATTACGCGTAATCATCCTAATTAACCCTTTCGTGCTATACAAAAGCAGTGTCGTCAGTATGCCATCATAGGAAGATGTCGTCATTTTCATTTAAACAAGCTATGTCTGTGTTGTTCGAAGGATGAAATTGAAATAAGTATTCTACTAAAGGCACAAAACTTGGAAATAAAATGAATGAAAATTTCATTTATTACAGTTAATAATAAAATCACAGTCTTATATATTTAAAGGAATTAAAAATACAACAGCACGTTCCAAAATCGATTTTTATTGGTTATAAAGACAATACTTGTGCATAAGGGATGAATTTTTGCTAAAACTAATGTAAAATCAGTATATATATGCTTGTCTAATCACTTTTTTGCCATAAACAGTATTTATGAAAATATGTCCGGTAGGCCATCATCGGCGCTGTGCCATAATAGGCGCTTTTCCCGTATTAATAAAACAAAATGGATTCTTTTCCATTGACATGACTAAACATCTTATTGATAATATACAATTTATCTTACTGATTAAATGTAAATTAAAAAAGTAACACTAAATATTTTTTAGGTGTGTATTGATAAAAGTTTTTCGTACATTAAAATTCTGCCCGTTAAAATTTCAAAAAGTATAGGAATACTTAAATCGCATACATTAGTTCAATTATATATACTTTTTTATTTATTGTTACATAAACTATGCAAACATTGCATAGGGTGGGACTAACAAAATAAACTTAAATCTCATTATTGTCAACAAAAACATGTAGC